GCCAAAAAAACTTTTCAATATGTGCAACCTCAATTAATGGGTGATCTTGCATATTTTTGTCTGAACACAAATCGCATTAGGTTCGCGCTGAAATCGAATCCCAAATTCAAAGGCAGCTAAGGATCATTGTTCTGGTTTCCCTGCAGATGGGCAACATCTTTATTTTGGAAGAAAAGTGTCTCGATAATCATGGGTGTTGCACTCGCATCCCCCTTAACTCTATTGTACGCAAATCTGCACCAAATTTATGCAAATTGAAATTCCTGAGCAACACCTGGAAGGCAGAGACAATTGTCCGGATGATGAATGTGCTGCAGGATTGTTCTTCTTGTCTTGTATTATTTTTGTTCATTTTTATTCTTTTCCTAACCAGAACAGGCCAGACTTCTTGGCGCGGCAAGTACGAATCTGTAGCAAGAGGCAAGGTGTCAATTCTGGGAAATCTGCCCAGCGTGCAGACAATGCCAAACTCAGCGGGATGCCTTCCACCTCCTCCTCCTCCTCCTCTTCCGACTGATCGCAGTTGGCCAAGACTATGGTTATGGCCATGTCGCTGGTGACAATGGCAATGGCTAGAGGTGGGATCGGGTGAGCCCAAGTGTAAGCGTTACTAGCTGGCCATAACGAAGCGCAGACAACATTATTGTCATCGAATGGCAAATGCAAAAGTAGTCCAGTGGGCTGTGGGAGAATCCTCAAGTAGCGCTCCAATTTACTCCGTCCTCCATGGAAATATTCTTCTTCCCACCAGCAATTTGCATTTGCAGGCAAGCGTGTTGTGCTGTTTTTCTGCACCGGCTAAGAATCACTTTGTTCGCTCGCTTTGGCACTTAGCATTGAGGGTACATTTATTTATCTAGTAAATGCGGATGATTTTGCATAATTTATGAGATCTGGCTTGGCCTTCTTATTCCGTAGTGAGGCTTTTACTGTTGTAGCTTTTAAGAGCCAGTTATATGTAAAGTAAAGTGAAATTATTCGCCAGCAGTGTGTTTAACCATTCAGGCTAGCCTAGCCTGTGAATAATAATCATAACAGATTGGAAAAAAAAATTAATTATACTATTTCTTAAAATAGAATATCCCTAGCGATAAGATCAGAGCCTAAACTCTCGTTGGTGCAAACCAATAACACCTTAAAATTACTTGCAGTGAATCGGAGTTCATAAGAAAGCAATTTGGTGATATTTATCGAGCCAAATAACCAAACACTTGTTGCTGTTTTCAAATTAAAAGAAACCTGCCAACAAAGCAATTCCTGTGACCTGTTCCCTGGGATAATGCCAAACTCAATGGGGTGTTCTGGGAACGGAAACGCAGTGCTGTAAAAATAAATTAGAAGTAGGTGTCCTTTTGCAGGCGTGTCAATTTACTTCCGTTTCTCAACAGGAGGACAACAATGAAAATAAAAATCCCATTGCAGGTGTTCATCGCAATCTCACCTTGCCATTACTTTGGCATTAATTACTACCTAAACGACTGATAATTGAAACATTTTCCAGGCCTGTCTGCCATTTCCATAAGCCAAATAGATCGCTTCCTCCTCTGACAGATGGGGCTAACGTTTTCAAATGCCCACGCCCACTTAATTGGGGGGGAAAACCAGTAGCGAACTGCAAAACTGCTGCTGGGCTGTGGTTCAAAATCAAAACCATCAGCGGCCACAAAGTCCACGTCGTCGACTTCATCATCATCATCATCATGGTAAAGCGTTTCCATGGCTGAGATTGATCATCGGGCTGGGCCCGAGCTCATCCATTTTGGTTTTGGTTTTTCTTTATTTTTGTTTTTGGTCCGATGCCTTAGCTTTTTGGCCTGCCCAATCAGCCACACCCACAAGATGTGCAACGCTCATATTAAAATGGCTTAAAAAGGCAGCAGCCAACGCTGAATGTGGCAAGACGTGGCTATAACAACGGCGACCCGCAGGAGATCTCCCAGAGATGGCTCGCTTCCGTTTCAGCTGCAAGGTGTGTGGCAGCAACGAGGCCCAAACAGTAGCCCCACTTCCACTGCCACCGAAAGCGCAACAATTGGCAATTTCATTTGCTGCGCCCCAAAACGCAGCTCCAACAGGTACGTAAAGCCACTGAAGTGGATATGGTTGCTGGTGGGTCTGTCAGGGGACAGTGAAGCCTGCATTAGAGCAACTTGCTTTCGGTAATAAAAATCGTAGTACACATAACACGGAATATGATCTAGTTTCGGCTTAAGTTATTTCCTATTTGAATTGCCACTTGGCAGCTGAATAGAGTTCTCCGCTTTGAGCACTGACCAAGTCCATAAAGTTTCAGCTTAGGCAGCAGCCACTGTAGCCGTCTCGGCTTGCTCCATTCAAAACTTTCTACGACTGTGACACGCTGCGATCTCTATGAACACGGTCCAAATGGCGGTGGGTTCAGTGAAGGAGATGGGTTCGCGATCCGGGGAATGGAGGCACCACCGTGTGCAGTGCATAAAAGCTGGCGGTGCTACATCATCGTCAAAACCGTCGAGTTGCGACTTCGATTTCCTGTGCCTGGATTGACGTCTCCCAGGTCACTTGCCACAACGTTTGGCTGCATTCGTAATTGCTCCGCAGCGAAATTTCCATATGATAATATTTATTCGCTGGAATATGCCTCCATCTCGAGTCGGCTTAACTGCATCTGTCCGTCCTGTGGAGGCTACGCCTGCGCTCCACGCAACACTCGCAGACACTGAGAAAAAATGGGAGTGCATCTTATAATGGTGATATCATCGTTTGATCATAAATTGAGCTTTTCTTAACCAACAGAAATCTTATCAAGTTATATCAGGTTACGAAACAATGGATTTAATTTTAATATTAAAATGAAACCCTAACTATTTAAAAAAAATGTAATAAATATAAGTAAATATGTATATATTTATATTATATATATTTAGCTTAAACACACGTTTAGTTCTTCGAACTCAAGGGTCAGCGATTTCTCTCTAAGTGCATTTGTTTTCGTTGTCTATTTGACACTGCGCAGGCGGCGAGGATGCTCTGCATCCGACTCCAAGCTCCACCTCCAAATGGCGAACTCCAACTCCGAATCCAAAATGTGTGGGTGGTCGTTTGAATGCCCTGCCCGGCTGCAAGTCTTTCACCCGACTCCCAGCGTCGTCTTCGCATTTTTTATTTCCATTTTCCATCTTTCGGAAAGGCCAATGCTTCCACTTCTTCAATCGACTTGAGTTTTATTATCTGGTTGGCATTTTAGTTGAATTGTTAGCTCAGTATATGCGGCTAGCCGCTCGGAAATGGCAGTCGGACGTTTTCCCGGCCAAGTGTGTATGATGCAAGGCCTATGGAATCTCCATGCATAACCAGGCTATGAGAAAGGGATTGAAAATGAGAAATTACCTTGCATTTTATAGCCACATTTTACTGCATTCGATTGATTTCACAGTGAAATCACCCATAAATGTTAAATACCATATGTGCATATGCATTTCTGATTAGAAGCTAGTACAGTTTCTTCATTTGAAATACAGGATATGCACCTTGCACTTAACTAAAACACTAATGACACCATTGACCCACCCGCAGGAATATACAGCCTACCCCTATAGGTGCAGAGTTCAGGAAATTTACAAACTAAAAAACCAAACAGGTAATTAGGTCAACGCCGCGTCGAGTGTCGCCGCCACGCGTAATGAACCTGTTCGGGAGTTAGGCTGAGTTGAGTTAGCCGACAAAGATACTGCGTCTTGCATTTCTAATAAATTTCCAGACGGACCAGCGACGTCAAAACAACACGCGTCTTGCTCCTGGCCATGTCAGGTAACGTAATGTGGCAATTAAAAATGCGGCCCAGCGCTGCCCAATGTGCATGTGTTGGTGCGCTGATCTTGCGGGCCAGAAGTTCAGTGGTGCACGGAAATGTGCGGGACACGGCGACAGGAGTTGGTGGTCGGGCGGGCGACTGTCGCGCGCCGCTGTCTTGACTAATATCCGCTCACCCCGATCGGCGACGGTCTGCTCGAGGCTTTATGTCTAGGACGCTGGCACAGAGGCACATCAGACCGCCTCCATTTGAATAATTAGGCGCTCGTGCCCGTCGAGCGTCGCCAGTTGCCAGTCGCCCGAGAAGGCCCACTTGCATTCCTGTGCACTTTGCATAACGTGTCCTGCGCCTGTTCAGGCCACCTCACCTCATTCCGCTCCTGTTGCTGGCCATTGAACAGGAACAAGTGCTTAGCTAGGACCAAGCTAGTGGGCCATAGCGGGCACTCAGAAAATATGCCAGCTTAGTAACGAATTTAAGGCGATTAATCGGAATATTCGTGGAACCCAATAACAGATTTCGGTGGGAGCCCTGAATACTATGAAACTGGCAGGGACTGGAATGTTTTGGCATTGCTAGGTAATTTTATTTAATTTTTTGTTTACCAATAAACACGAATTAATAATAATAATAATAAATAAGTAGTAGCTATAAATAGTACTAACTTTGTAGTACTTTGTAAATTCTTGCAGTGTAGGAAAATGCTGCGGTCAGCAGTCGACGAGGGGTGGGTGCACTCAAGCGGGGTACACCGGCATGTGTTTCCAGGGAGGTGTTTCTGATGACTCGTGGCAGCACCTCTGGCACCTGGCTGGGTGGCACAGGATAGGGGCTGTATAGGAATTTGAATGTCCAGCTGATGCATATTGCAGCAGAGAAACTGAATAGCACCTTACCCAAAGTTTAATAATTACAAATGTAGTAAGAATTATACCTATTTTGTATATACCAACTCCTTCACAGTCCTTTACAAGGCTCGCTGAAAATATGTAAGAGGTAAAAGAAAGAGTTTGCAACCATATGAGGTTTATATAATCTTGATCAGGATCAATAGCCGAGTCGATCTGTCCGTCCTTATGAACGTCTTCATCTCAGTAACTAGAAAAGCTAGTAAATGATAATATTTGTTGACAGCTGCTAGTTTAAAGGTAGTAACCCTAAACATACATATGCGCACTTTTGACAAAAGCCGCTGTAAAGTCGCTGGTATTCAGTTTGTCATCTCGAAATTTTCACAGCAAAAAAGGAAACCTCTCGCAGTTTGTGAATAATATCCAAGACGATGTCGATTCTTTCCATTGAAGTTCCGATACAGCCGTATGCTGGCCAGCTGCTGATCATCAGCGATCTTATTCTGCCGGACGCAGCTCCTCAGGATCCAAATAAGACAAAAGGGTGGACGAAGAGAAAGCAGCGAGCATCCTTCTTCGACCTCAGCAGTATCTACAAAAAAATTATAAAGCAATTATCACCGAATAACCAGGCGGAGGATATCTGCATTTCGGAGCAAGATTTCCTACTAGATTCCTTTTTGGCCGCCTTGGAGACCTACATGAAACATGTGGTCAACAAGATTATCGATTTGTGCGAGCATCGCACTAGCTATCATCTGTATAGCGACGAACGTTGTGTAATGAAGAACGATATGAGGACCACGATGATGTTCCTCAACGATCTGGAGATGGCCGACTATGGATCATCGGATGATGAGGCCGGATTCTATCGCAAGCGTCGTACAGAGAACAACGACAAGGATCGGAAGGTTACGCGTCTGGAATCGGTGAATGATACCGCCATGTTGGCCATAGGCGGTCGAAAGCGACCCGCAGAAGCACCTGGCCCAGGAGCTGCTCCAGGTGGCTCGAAAAGCGGCCAAGTGGCCGGTGCAGCCACTCAGCGAACGTTTCCTCTGCGCTTTAAGCACATGAACATCAGGGATGTCCTGCAGTTCATGGAGGAGGATAGACGCTACGCGCGGTCCAACATGCTCTTCGAAGCCTATTTGAAATACAAGTCATAAATATACGATTATGAAGTCTTTCCAATATCCTTAAAGCATTCATCTTTTCTTGTAAAGAACCTATATAGTTTTATTGATTAAAACGGATTTTTGACTTGCTATGAATATGCACACATACATTTCTAGAATATTTTATACTTTTTTACAGTAAAAACGGATGTATATAGAACAGATTCCTGCAGAAATACTTTTGTATGCACCCAGCATGCGCGTTACGATTTCAATTGCAGCAATCGCAGTTCAATGAACTTCCTCCTCTCGTAAATCCCCAAATGGAAACCCAATGAAAGCCCAAGGAAACAGGTGGTGCTTGCCGTATCCTTTGTTCGGCTGCACTTGGCATTCAATGGATCCCTTGCTCCGTGCACTTTGAACTTTTGTGCTGCACTGCAGCAGACGGATGACAATGGAGCGGGGCACTCAAAGGAATATCCGGCTAGACAGGAAGCATATGCGCACTGGAATCGAGGGAATCGAGTATCGAGCACATTGCGCATGCGCCGCGCGATAGGAAACGTGATTTTATCGAGGCGGCTCATTATGTTAAGTGCTGGCAATAAAATCAAAGCGCACGCGGCGACTCATTTCATTGAACTTCAATTGAAGCCGTTTGTATTTTTTTTTATTTTTTTTTTTTGGGGACATGACCGAGGATCGTGCTAGGAACCTTCTAAGGTGGGGAGCATTAATTTCCATGTAATTGTGGGCATTTTAAAGGGGTTAGTGAGATTATAAATGCATTGAGGCTTGGGGAATATGTTAAAAAGACCTGGCATAGAAAGCGTATTCAGCTGGTGTCAACCTTTGAGGTGGTAGTTTACAAAATATATTATCAAGCCAAAGGCATTTTCCCTTGAGTAAAATATGTGCATCACTTTCTATTTAAGTACATATCATTTTTTAGACTACAAAATATTCCAAAAAACTGTAATAAGGGAATTTTTTGTATTTAAAACTATTTGAAGATTCCTGTGGCGGAATGGAAAGTATAAAACCCTCCACTGCACAAAGCACCCACAAAAAGTTCACTTCGCTCTATTCATAGATAACCGCTTGATAAGCGCCTAATGTATAAACAAATTCAAAGTGGGCCCATCCGCAGGATCACCACCTGTCCGAGTTGCAAAGATAGCCACCCCTATTCACTGCACCCTCTACCGATTACTTGCCACACTTTGCAACCTTAACTCGGGCGTGTATCCTTTTTTCAAGGACTCGCAATAGCAGCTGGTGCAGGCTCGAGGAAAATATCAAACGCTGTCAGGCGTAAACTTGACAGGTAGATGAGCAGGAAAAGTTCTCCCCCCTAATTGTTCCCTTTGTCCGGCGATCGGAAGAAGAGAAAACCACCCCAAAGTTGCCACTTTAAAGCACTTAGAACAATATTGTTATTGTGATAATTAAAAAGCAGGAAATGAAAAAAATTGAGAAATATCAATACATTGACTTTACAGAAAAAAAACTGTTCTGTAAAATTAGAAAATATTTGCCTTAGATTCCTTCTCGTCAAGTAGTTAGCTTTAAATATATTTCTTTTATATGACTCATAAGAAAGAGAAGCGCTAGGTTTTTTCTCAGTGCACGCCTCGCTTTTCCAGGCGGAAGAGTCTGCTTTTTATGATGAAAGCAAGGTGTGTTTGAACAGACGGCCGTGTTGCAGAGAACCTTGCAACCCAGTAAGGACAGGAAGGCGAATTCCAGCACATGCAACACCACTGGCAGAACCGCACCACCCCAGACGTTCCGTTAGGTTCTTTTCTATAGGTGCACCACTATCGTATTTGTATAGCAGGAACACACAGAGTGGTTTTTGTGGGGGCCAGGAAAATGTGTTGCACCCTTTTTGCATAACGCCGCTTTCTGTTCCGCTCAACTCCGACCCGATCCGAACTGATCCGGCGTTGTGGATATACGAGTATGTCTGTCATCATTGTATTATTAAAGACGACTCCGTCTCTTCATCGCTGAAGTAGCAGCTGTGCCAATACGCGGCCGTAAAAAATAAAAGACCAACAAATTGTATTTGCCGAATGGCTTTCGGGACCGGTGTTTCATCCAGCCGGGGAGCCCGGATTCCGAATCAGAATTGATTGGAGCCGGGCTAACTGGCCGTGTTTGCACGTCGATAAGGAACCTGATGGGGATCCAGAATGACATCTTGGCTTCGCGCTTATTTACATATAAATGAGCTCGCCCTTATCTATCTAGTCATTCAAATAAACCCATTTTCGAAGGTCTTTTTCGTTCTACTTAGTGTTGGGAAATAATATGCTACGCGAAAGGCGAGGTTTTTCCAATTCCATTCCTTGAAATTCAAATTCCAACATTGAATTGCTTCGATTGGCAACATAGCTGTCAGTTCATATGGCATTTTGTTCGATGACCTAATGCTCTGATTGACTTTAAATGTTTATCGCCAGTTTGCTGTGGAACCATTAACCCTTTCGTCATTAAGGTGTTAGGCTTCAGCTGAAGTCGATCATAAAGATGATGAATTAGAGAATTCGAGTGCCTGAACCGCCTCACACATATCCTCCTGGGAGTCTGCGCTCCGTTTCTAATCCGCAACATATGCCGCCAAGCGCTACGTGCCACCAATCCACAGCCAACAGTGGGCACTCACAAAAGAAGCCATAAAAACACATGGACACGTAACGATTTGCGACGCTACAGACTGCGGCCCCAACTGTTGTGTATTAGAGTTCAGGAACAGTGAAATCCGGCCAGAGGGAAGCAACCAGCCCCCGGTAAGACAATTTATGACTTTATTAACTTCAAAACGCAACCAGGCGAGCAACAAAGTGTTAAGCTGAAGCCATGGCGGCAAGGCGATGAAGTTGTGTAAATGAAATTAATCTTCAATAGACACTGGGCAATAAACGAAACCAAACATCCCGGGCAGCCTCTCACATACACTGGGTGGAAAATCTAGGCATTTTCTATAATATATCACTATGATTAAAGAAAAATGTATAGCAAGCTTGTTAACATTTAAGTTTAAGCAAGGCGATTACTCAAACAGCAATGTGCTATATATATATATATACATTTATCTTTACTTTCTATATTATAAACTATTATAAATAAGTATTATATATTATATTAAACTTTGAGCTTTATATAACATTTATTTAAAATATCTCGAATTTTTTCCTGTGCATCCAGCTATGCCATTAGTCATTAAAAATTTCGACTGAAGCCGCCGCTTCCATCTACATTTTGAACTGCATCTTCTGTTGCAGTTGCAGTTGCTGCTGCCTTTGCTGCGGCTGCTGCGTATTTTGTCAGGTGTCATAAAAACCGAATTTATTGCGCATGTGCAGCGGCTATAAGAGCAGCGCTCCTCAGCATTTTTGTTACAGATTTTCAGTTTTATTATTTAATTTTCTCGTGGCAAGAGCATAAATCACGATGCGTGCCGCACTAAGGTGACAGCACTTTAGGGCACATAAACACACATCGGCAGCGGCATTGCGATGGGGATTGAGTATCGGAATCTGGATCGGGATCAGGATGAAAGGGATGCTGAACAAAAGATGCTGAAGGAGCAGGTTGCAGGAATGTTAATTAAATGGGACGCGGGCAGTTCGATTTAAGGTGCGTGACTTCAGACTTCAGATTCAGACTTAAAAGTCGGATCCCCAGTAAAAATGCTATAAAAAAGCATAAGAAATCTCAAAACACTTGATTCAATTAGGTGCCATGGCTAAGAATACTGTTTTATAATAAGGAACATATGTACAAATCATTATAATACACCTTATAAGAAAAATCCTTTGAAAAGGTGTTTATTCCTAGATATTCCTGGGTCCTTTTTCTTCATGTGCTGCATGCACTTCCCACTAACTTCACACACAGTTTTGGCAAAAACCAAAAAAACCCAAAAAAAATCATTCCCAAAAACTTGAATTTCACACGCTCTCGACTGCGGGGGTTCTTCCCTTGGCTCGAATAAAAAGAGCACGTAATGTGGCAGATTCTACCGATGCCGATGGCGATGCCGCTGCACTTGTTCCCACAAAATTCCAAGGCATAGGCAATTTCCATGAATGCCAAACCAGCAAGAATTTCACACTCCGCATGGGGAAGAGGAGAGATGAAGCCGAATGAGGCAGTGAACCTGCCATCGGGCCTGAGAAACAGAGGACCGAAATTCTCGATCTCAATTCCAGACATCAGCATAATCAACAAGATCACGCATCAAACGAGACGACAGCCGCATCAGAATGCAAACATTAAGAGATTTTATGCGAGTTTGTTCACATGCCAAAAAGGAGGCAGCAGCTCAAGGAAAGAAAGCAGCACAAAACCCGAGGCAACAAAGGAGCAGAACAGGTACCCAGGACGATTATCCTGTCATTCACTTGTTGCTGCCACAGGACAGGTAGCAAGGGCGGGGTCCAAGGAGCAGTAACCCCTGCAATTTCAGTTACACTTCCTGCAGATGAGGTGGTCCTGCCTTGGTTAGCGTGTGAACCTGTTTTACCCCTACCTCCAGTTTTTTCCCCGATGCTTATCTGTGGCCTCAAATTTTTGCAAAATTTCTGGTTATTTTCGCTTTTTTAATAGATCGCAACTGGGTCTTTGGAGCGGGCATTTCGTGTTTTTCGATAATTTATTACAGTTGCCCAATTGGACGAAACGGTTCGCTTCGGCCACTAAACACTTTTTTATTGTCATATTTATATTTGTGCGATTAGTTTTTCAGTTTTCCTTCTCGCTCCTCCTTTTGTTGAGATTTTTTATGATTCTCTTTTTTCTGCTATAAATTCGAATAATAAGTCGCACGCAAAATTTATTCCCACGCATTTCAGTTCGTGATATTTTTTGGGGCTTTTATATTTTTCTTAACTCTTTCCAGAGCACAAATCAAGCAGAAAATGTAAAAAGAGACCTTTAATTGTTCTTTTTGTTCGCTGGGAGCTGCAGTTCGTTAACGGATTTAATGTTGGATTAGAGCTCAGTAAAGTATGACAATATGATGCGCTATTTTAATATAC